CCAGTGCCTCTGCAAAAATGTTCTCCACATCGAGATTAAAGAGCATAGGAGACAAAATACACCCCTATCGCACCCCTCTTAAAGTTTTAAATGCTTCTGTGTTGGTTGATTTGTTCAGTCTAACTCGTGCTTTTTGATTCCAATAGAGATTCTGGATAACTCTTATATCTTTCTCGTCAATGTTAACGTTGTGTAACACATTTATCATTGCGTTATGTTTTACGGTGTCAAACGCTTTTTCATAATCGAGGAATGTTATGACTATATCCTTTCGTCGATCCATGCAGTTTTGTACAAGCGTATTCAGCCAAAAAGATGCTTTGTGTTGCTGCTGCTGCAAATTGTGTCTCACGGCACCGCTTAGATCTTCCAGCCTTCTGAACATTCTTGGGTGAAGGATGCTAAGAAACACCTTAAACAAATGGCTCATTAAACTTATCAGTAGACTTCGGCAAATATGCAAATAAAAATGTAGAAAATATGCGCATAAATATGCACGTGTTTACCCGAAAATATGCAAATATTTTACAAAATATGCATACGAATAAATAAAAAAATCGTAAAATAGTAACAATTTATTTAAAAAAAAGTGTACATAACTAAATATTTCCTACTATTCATTAAGATTTACATTTATTTTAAGTAACTACATCATTATTAAGTATGAATAGACTTATTTAGAATTATGGTAACAATAAATGACCAAGTGGTGTTCAAAATTTTCTAAAACTTGTGGCTTCTGTCTGAGTACATATATTTATATATGGAAAAACTTCGTTCAACATCAACTGATGTAACGGGAGCATTTTTCAAACTAACCAAAACATTTGGTTCTAAATTAATTGTTTCCGAAATATTTCCAGCTAGAACACTGACTACTTCAGAAAGAATATGGTAACCTTTATTTTTTTCCATAGTAGCTTCAAATTTTTTTAAAATATCTTTTCCAATATTACCTCTAACGTTCCGACAACATGACGCAAATTCTTTTATTAATGCTGTACTTTCGAACAATGACAGTTTTGGTGATTCTAACTGAGTAATTGTTTTTTGAACAAAACTAAAATTTGATTTTATAAATGAAAGTTCTTGTTGAAGCAAGTTACTCTGAAAAGTTTGTTTAGAATCCAAAAGAGATTGGGAACTTTCATCTGTTAACGTATCAATTATGTTCTTTATTTTAACAAAATGATCTGCATAAAAATTAGCTACTTCTAACCATGTTCCCCATCGCGTTAAAATAGATTGTGGTGGAAGAGGAATGTTAGGTAGCATTTCTTTATAAAGTTAAATTCTTATAGGAGATTTAAAAAATACTTTTTTGACACTGGATATCATGGTATTTACAAGAGAAAACTTTTTTCGTATTTCCTCTGCAACTCTGTTTAATCCATGCGCTACACAAGTACCATGTATTAAATCTGGGAAAAATATTTTTAAATTTTGTCCTGCTTTCACCATATAAGGAGCAGCATCCGATAAAATAAGCAGTAATTTATTAGAAGGAATAGTTGTCGGAAGAAAAAAAGTTGCTAATGTTTCTTGTATAAAACTCGAAATTGTTAAAGCATTTGTTTTCTCAAGTTGCTGGCATGAAATAAGATGAGATTAATGGTAAGGTATCTTCTTTAAGAACACCAATCAATAAATGAGCAATATACTTTCCTGAGGAATCAGTGGTTTCGTCTACAGATATGTAAAAATAATTATCTGCAATTTCTTCCTTAATATTAATTAACACCGACGAGTATAGCCCGTTCACATTATTTCTTCTTAGAGACCGATCACTTGGAACATTAAGTTTGCAATATTTTTTTAGAAACGAACTAAAATTTACATTTGCTAATTTTAAAAGCGGTTTGCAGACACTAATGCGCGACACAAGTCTTCATTAAAAGTTTCTTGCTCATCTAATTTTTTTGAAGTAGATTGGAAACATTTAGCCATTGAAGTTTGATGTTTTCCTCCTATTTTTCCTTTTTTTGCAATGTGTGAAGCAGTTCTCACATGTTGGTCTATCTGAAATTTCTTCTCACATGCTATCTATAAATAAAAATAAAAACGTTTATTTTAACCCAACCTTTAAAATATAAAAATATACAAGGTGTTTTTGGTTAATCAAATAACTGGTTTGGAAAAAAAAACACGCACTAAGTGTTTTAAATGCAGTATTAATCCACAAATTAGTTTTTGTTACTAACCATTAGTACAGCATATAACTTATTTTAAAATTCAACAAAAGTTTTTTTTTTTGTTAATTCAATTACAATAAAAATAATTGTGTTTTAGAATAGCTGACTTCATAAAAAAAAGTAAAGGTGAAAAATTTTTCTAAATACACACCATTGTATTGTACCGTGGACAATTTTTTCTCACTAAAGGAAGCTATTTTTCATTTAAAAATAACCTACGAGTACTAAATTTCAAGTAAATACGTTTATTGGTTTTAAAGTTATTGTTGTTATTAACTAAAAGAATTTAATTTTTTTTTAATTTTAACACCCTGTATCTCGAAAAGTAAATAAGTTTGACCCCTTATTAACTATATCGTTTTGTTCAATTTTTCGAGAAGTATCTACAGTCAAACGTTGTAAGTGTCATTTGGAAACACCCTGTATGTATGAAATATTAGATATTTAATAGAAAATATTAGATACTTACAATTTTGCCACAGACTGAACAGTAGATTTTTCCCATATCCATAGACAGCTCTTTATAAGGTTTAATCCAAGTTGAAGCACTGGTTGTTTTAGGCATTATAAAATCACAATCTTCCTTTTTGTTACGCACAACGAGTGTTTACGCTTTGAATATCAAAACAAAAATGATTTACAAATCTGAGCATCAAATTAGAAATGTTTAGGTACCTAATTCAATAAACTGGGCGATTTTGGAAAATCCCTAAATTAGGAACAAAACTATTAGCCGTTTATCTGCTGTTAAGATACAATAAATTGTAGATAGATTTGGGGATTACATCATAAAATGCAAATGAGCGAACCCTTAGCGATTATCCAATAACTGAATGAATTGAAATAAATTGGTATGTTTAAAAATTTTCAAATACAGTATAAAAATCTGAACTTTTATGCACTTTATGCAAACTTTTATACAAATATGCCAAAATATGAAATATTTGCATAAAATATGCACAATATGCAAAATATGCAATATGCATATTTGCCGAAGTCTACTTATCAGTCTGTGGTCTTTGCATTTTGTCGCTCTTTGTGATACTACAATACAACAATGCTACAATAATTCCCTGACAAAAAAATAATTGCAATGATTAACGGACAATGACTTCGGTTAGAAGTTAAATTTCTTGTTTGTTTGTTTCTTGGAGTTCTAACCCTTTATTTCTATATCCCTTTTTGTCTCTTTATTTAGGGGGGTGGACTGAAATCTTTAAAAAATATCTCAGTATAGAATGCCGTCTGACAGACCTCAGTGCAGGATCGTTCTTCGTAGTTCGGGCGATAGTTCCCGAGGTATTTTAAAACGCCCTCTTATGTAGCTGAAATTATGTAGAGATTCGGAAGCGGAATGGCCGCTATAAGGCTGAATATCAATTTCGAAGCACTACCTTCATTTATCCATAGACTGTCAGCAAGGAGGCCCCTTGTCAGGTTTTCCTGTGTCCCCTTTTTTGTTTCCAAAAACTGTTTTTGTTTTAAAGAGATGAACCCCGTTCCAGGTAAAGCGTGGAAGACCCTTATCACTCCTATAACGGAATAATTTCCAGCCGGGCATTTTCTCCTTCCCCACAGTCTCATACAGTCTAACCCACTTTTTCGCCTCTTATCAAAACGTATTCCCTCTACCTTCAACTTACGGCACCTCATATCTTTGTCGTTAGTCCAGCTGTCATTTCTTCCTCTTCTTTCTTTTTTATCACTGCACGGTTGGTTATAATTGTGTACACTAGTCCAACTTGTTTATTTTTCAATCATTCTCCAATCATGTCTTTCACTGTAACAAAATTCACAACTGTCTCTCTTTCCATTCTGTTCCCTTCTACTATCTATATGTTGTACTCTAACACCGTATGTGTCACAGTATCCGAGTATCCACAGTATAGGCATTCCTCCGTGCCAGCCTTTACGAACCTAAAGAGGTAGGTTATAAAACATCCACTAGCGTTAGAAAGTAATACAGTCGCCTTTGACCACAGTCCACCCAATCTCTTAATGTTTGGCATTAACATCTTGTGTTCACTATGCCACATCCCCCGTGTTGATTCATTCTCCTCGTCATCTTTTTCATTTCTTGTCTTCTCTCGGCTGTAATAAAATCTTGGTCTCTTCTCCCATATAGCTCTTTTTTAGTCAATCTAATTATATGACCAGAACTCAAGATCAAAATTTAATATTTCATTATTATCAACTTTTTTATTTGTCACGTGATTAAGAGAGATGGTATAAAGATATTCACAGTGACGTACTTGTTTAATGAAATATGCCAATAATGCTTATTGCTGTTGAAGAATAGTAAAAGGGGATGTATTCAAAAATCTTTGCGTAAAATATACCAAAATGAATAACTTTATAAAAGAAGCAAGTTATTTCAATTATTTTCTTTCGACGTAACAATATTTTAAGTCAAGAATTAAAGAAGGTTGTAGATAGTGTCTATAAGGTATGAATTTAAATTATATAGCCAGAAAAATAAATTTTATCGCTGTAGTAGCACATTGTGCAGAGCCATAGATTACCGAGCTTTGGCTCAGTTGATCGTGAGTTCGAATCTGATCGAGTATGGGAATTTTTCTATTAAATAAATAAACTCTCAAGACAGTCGGATTGGCATTAGACAGAAATGCTGCAACCATTTAGAAATAATAAGCGAGATTTTAGAAAGATATTGAAGCCGACTTAACGTTGTAACAAAGCATCTACCCGGAACACAAACTTCACACAAAAAAAAGTTACGCACAAAATATGGCCTAACGATCCTCTACTACTATATAAAATATTTACCAAATTCATTTTCTATTGCAGGAACCAGCGTCCACCAAAATGTGGGGCCGAGCGATGCTGCTCGTGCTGGTAACGTCGCTTTGGCTAACATCAACGAATGCCCTCCACGACGCCGAAGACAGTCAGTTAAAGGTCGGAAAATCAATAGATCTGTTCACGAGATACGGGTATCTCACTTTATCCATGAAGGTAAGTTACCTGCACACTTTTCTATTTTCTTTTAATTGATCTAATTTAAGTTTACCTACTAAACTATATTTTCTTACTTTTCAATGCGCTACTTAAAGATCCTTCTCTATTAGTAAAAGTATATATATATATATATATATATATATATATATATATTATATATATATATATATACCGACAAAGTGAAGAAAATTTTAAATTAATTAGCATTTCCTGCTATTAGTTATAGTTCGCTATATTAGTTAATTTCTTTTGTAGGGTAAAACAGAAACAAGGTGGAATTGCAATTTATGTAAAGGACAAACTTATGTATTCTCTTCTTAATCTAAATAAATATAATGTAAAGCAAAGTTCAGAGTTGTGTGCAATTTATGTACCTTCAATAAAAACCAATATTTTAGATGTAAACAGTTCGGTAAGGGTGACTTTAACTTGTTTTTGGTGAATTTTCAGAATGTCATAACATCCTTGCTTAGCAAAACAAACAAACTGATCATACTTGGTAATTTTAATATAAATTTTAAAATTGAATCTGACCCTTCTTTTGATGTTCAAAATCTATTAACATATTTTGGTCTAAAAGTAACTATAAACGATTATACTAGTATCACATCCTAGTCCATTAGTTGTATGGACAACATTATGACAAATTTTTATGAAAATATTTACAGAGTGGGCATATTTGAACCTTGTTTTTCTGAGCATAGAGCTCAATTTTTATTGACTCTGAGCATAAAGTTGCTGACACTAATCAAATATTTCAACTGTTTATAACTTCTTCTGGTTTACTACAGAAGTTTAAACGTGCGCTAGCTAGTAGAAAGATGGACTTTTTCTATGATACTAATAATATTCTTTCTTACCGAAACTTATAATAACTTAATATTAAAGCATTTTCCACTAAAAAAAGTTCGACAAACTTCTAAAAAAACACCCGTGCAATGGTTTAATAATGAATTAAGGTCTTACAAATCTAATCTTTCGCTTATTAAACACATTGAAGATGCCACTAAGGATCCCGATTTGCTAATTCCAATAATAAACCTAGAGACTGTTGAAAAATAGTAAATTAAAACTACACAAGATCCAGTTTGGTACAACCTGATCTACCTACAGACGAAATAAATAATTTTTTTACTGCAACTGCAGAGAATATAATTACATCTCTTTTCACTATTAATGTCGATGTCCCCTTCAATTATAGAAATCATTCTTCTCCTAGCAAGTCATTTTTTCGTCCCGTTATGGAAGACGAGGTCTCTCAAATAATAAAGTCTCTTAGTAATTCTAATTGTAGATACGTTCACGAAATTAATAGCAAAATTTTAAAAGCAACTTACCAAATAGTTTTAACAACTTTCACTTATCTTATTAATTTAATTCTATCAACTGGTGATTCAAAAAGGTGATTCCTCAAAAACGGACAATTACAGATCCATAAACATTGTGTCTACTTTTGGGAAAGTGATTGAAAAGGTTATTAAACAACAATTTTATTCCTATTGTGATTCACATAATTACTTTAGCAACTCACAATATGGATTCAGAAGTGTTGGTTCTACTACGCACGCGGTATTTAATGTTGTGAGCGTGGTGATTGAGGGGCTTGAACGCGGCAATCGCATAGCAATTTCTCTTTGTGACTTCTCGAAGACTTTTGACTGCATTTCACACGACATTTTGCTCCACAAATTCAATAACTATGGAATCAGAGGTATCCCTCTTAAGCTTATAACTTTTTATCTATGTGACATACAACAGACGGTAGAGTCTACGGATCGTCTTTCCGATTTTTGTATCCGTAAAATATAAAGTCCCACAAGGTTCGGTCTTAGGACCTCTTTTGTTTATTGTTTATGTCAAAGATTTGCCTAAATTCATATCTCCGTAAAAATCCATACAATTCGCAGATGATACGACATACGTTATATCAGGAAAAGATAATGATGATTCAAAATGTCTTATAAGGAAGTTTCTACTAAATCTAGCACATGTTTTGCTGCAAACAAACTAAACCTTAACTCTGATAAAACGCAAAATTTGGTCATATCTGCAAGTAATTTATACATTAATCCAGATAACAAAGAGACTGTTAAACTATTGGGAATAACCATAGATAAATCGACTGAACTGGTCAGCTCATATCTAATAACTTGAGAAAAAGCTATCAAGTTAATTATTTGTTATTCGCCAACTAGCAAGGGCTGTCAACTTTGAAACATTAAAAATGGCATATTTCTCTTTATTCCACTCTCACCTAAACTATGGTGTAATCATATGGTGCAATTCAACAAATGTACTTCAAATTTTTACAACGCAAAAGAAAGTTATAAGGATTGTAGCAGGGGTTAGTTATCCAGAACACTGCCGACCTTTCATTATAAAATTAAAATTATGCCGATACCTATTCCGTTAATATTTTAAGTTCTAGCCAAAATTTACAGAAAATGTGAACAGTTAATAAAGCAGTCTGATGTCCATGTTCACAATACGCAAAACTGTCACTACCTACGAGCAAATCGCTGTAGATTATGTCTTTCAACTAATTGCCTTAATTATAACTATTACAATATTTTACTAAAAATATTTAAACATCTAAGCTGTAATAATTTTGAAAAAGTTATAAAAAAAATATCTTCTGAAACAACATGATGCAGAGCACTAGAAACGTCTGAAGAAGTTCTGACGGCAGACTTATATATATTGGGCAAATATTTTCGCAAGGGGCGACAATAACCAAATGCATCCAAATCAGAAGTTAGTTGCTTTCTCCTAAACAATAAACTTGCTGGAAAGGAACTCAACATACGGTTTGAAAATACCACACTTACCCATAACAAAACAACGAAGTACCTGGGTGTAACACTAGACAGAACGTTATCACTTAAAGAGCATTTAACAAAAGCTGCCCAAAAGTTGAGTACAAGTACAAGAAACAAAATTATACAGAAGCTCTGCGGTACCACCTGGGGAGCATCGGCTTCCACTCAATGCTCTACTGCCTTAGCCCTTGGTTTCTCGACTGCTGAATATTGTGCTCCAGTTGGTCTGCACAGTCCACACGTAAAAAAGGTCGACACTAATCTGCACAGCACTATGAGGATGATAGCTGGTACAATTAAATCAACTCCCACCCAATGGCTTCCAGTATTAAGTCACATCGGACCTACACATTTACGACGAGTTGACGCACTTACACGTGAATATAAAAAGATCATAAACAATATAAACCTACCGATCTGCCAAGATACCGAGGATGCACGAAATATCCGTCTCCGTTCGAGAAACCACCAATGAAAACGGCAAGAATGATACATGAGGAGTTCAACATCACGAATGCATGGTCCCAAGAATGGAACGCATGGCAAAATAACATGCCCTGCATTACCCACAAGCCACCAGGTTTTGATCTTCCACGCAAAACATGATCCAGTCTAAATAGGATCCGAACCAGACATTGCAGATATGTATACATGCTACGTAAATGAGGAAAGAACCCGTCTCCTCAACATGACTGTGGGGAGAACCAAACCATCGACCACATTATTGAAGAGTGTCCCTCAAGTTCCTACAACGGTAGCCCTAAAGACTTCCTTTTTGCAACTTCAGAGTCAATTGATTATATTAATACACTTGATGTTTGATTTTAACTATTTAAATTTTGTCATATACCTATATTACTAGTATAGTGTTTGTAATTTTGTTCTAAATGTGTTGTAATTGCCATACGATAAATAAATAAAATTCTGAAACATTTTTTTTACTGCTCAGAAGAATGACAGTGCAGAACATCCACTGAACTGCTTACCGTAACTTTGCTATATTTTTTTTCTGTTTAATATGTGTTATTTTTTGTGATATATTTAAGTTACGTTTTATAATTCTTTTTTATATACTATGTATTTTTTTTTGACTTGCTACAAACAATATTTGTATTTGTGTAAACAATTATGTAGTTAGATAAATAAATCCTAAACTCTCTAAACTTTAGACATTTCACATCTCATCAGAAAGACTGTAGCTCGAATTGAAATGAAATGCGTATCTATATGGCTGTTATAGTAATATAACATGCCTGAGTACGCTACTAGCGACAGCTGTATTAAGCAACAAGAAGTCAGGAGACTTATATTTGATGAAGAATTAGGTGAACTGCAAATCCAGGCTTACAGGAAGCTATTCAACGATATTGTTCTAAATCTATTTTCTTGTGGCATTTTAAATTAATTACTATTTAACTGGGAATAAGCCACAATTATAGGTTAAAATACGTTTATTGACGTTTCAATTTCCACTTCGGAAATCCTTCTCAAAATACAAACAATAAATTAAACAAATTTTGTTTTTTTTTGTTTAAAAATTTGTTTAAAAAAAATTTGTTTAATTTACTGTTTGTATTTTGAGAACGATTTTTGAAGTGGAAATTGAAACGTCAATAAACCTATTTTAACTTTTAATTGTGGCTTATTCTATTCAACGATGTTAGAAATAACCTACTCCGACAATACACCTACAGTTTACCCTACAAAACATCATCTTTTGCACTCTTTTTCTAGAGAAAATGTTAAAATAAAGATTATATATATAACAAGCGAGTCTTCTACAGCTGGCGCCGCTTCTCGCATCCTAATTTCCAGCGTTTTCTGTCGAAGCAATCTTCAGTTGTTAGATCTCTGGCGGTCATTGCATCGTCGACATCGTCTCTCCAGGATCGTCTTGGTCTACCTCGTTTTCTTCTAGTTGGCGGAGTCCATTGTTCTATTTTTTTTGGCCATCTATTTTCCGGCATTCTCTGAAGGTGTCCATACCAGTTAAGTCTTTTGGCTTCGATTGTGTCTATTATATCTACATCGATTTCCATTTCTCTCCGAACATCTTCGTTTCTCACCCTATCAAGTCTAGTGAGCTGGCAACATCGTCTCCAGTAGTTCATTTCCATGGCCTTAATTTTTGATTTGTTTCTTTGGTTTATTTCCCAGAGTTCGGCGCCATACAGTCCA